AAATCTACAGAATTCTACGATTTCACTGTATTCTAACAGTTTTCTTTCCAACTGTTCACCAGCTTATTATTTTTAGTTATTCAAATACAATAAATGTTGATATAATTTCAATTTTTTTTAGTTCACCTACATTTAAAGATGATTTAAGAAGCATGAAATACAAATGGTAGATTTAACGGTCAAAAAGATCCTTTAAATATGTAATGAGTGTGGTAGTACTAGAATTGATGTGAAAATATCCACGGGATTCGTATGACAATTACAATGCGATTATTAACATAAAACTCAAAACCACACAAATGAATAGTAGTAATATTATAATATAATGAAGTAGAAAGAACATTATAAATTAGTTACACTGGTGGTTGAATGTTAACTAGTGTAGCCTTCTGGAGACATATGTAGGGTTGTACCATTTTTATTTGGATGGTCATAGTAAACAAGAGTATATTCGAATTTCGCTAATTTTTGAGTTGTTGTAAAGCTATTTCAACATCTATTTCATCACCTATGTAACCTACTATTCTGACAATCAGGTATTTTATTTTAGCCTCTGAAACACTTTTATTCTTTATATTATAATATGGTAGGTTAATTAAGAATTTGTAAGGTGTGATAGAATTTATTCTTTTCGAATAATTAGCACTGGATACTGGTGGCCTACTTATACTTTGGGCTACCAAAAAGTTTCCACCGAATCTATCTCATCAAATTCATCTCTTTCAATTTCTTTCAATCTTATAAATATGTTTTTGAAACGCGTCAAACACTTTCTCGCTTTTCAAAATTAGCTTCAAGTTACCGTTTTTCAAGCTTACAGCAAAACATAGAATAAACGACACATTGGTAGGAGATACACTTATTAATGCCAAGAAATATAGTAGATTACTATTGGTTGGATAACTATGTCTAACTGCAGATTTCGGTAGTGGCTGAATACGGTATGACCACCAAAATTGGGCTTGACATTCTATTCATTCACCAGTCCAAACTAGACTCTATTGTAATGGCAGTGACTTTTTCATATTGTGGCATTTATTAATCTTATTATTAAGATTATTGAAATGCGGTGGTTATTTCGCCTAGATATATTGTACAGTGAGTGAATTTGTTGAATTATTGCAAGCTGAGAATTCTAAACCATACCACAAGTTTTGTTTGGAATAAAGCTATTACTATTATCATTATTATTATTAAATAACAGCTTGTACGAAGTTGAACAGAAGTCAACAAACTTCTTTGGCATCATAGTATTCTACTAAGCTATATACTTGCTTTGTTAAGTTTCATGAAGGGAGCTAGACGTATGAAATTAACGAATTAAATAAAGAAATAAGGTTTCCTGCTTGAAGATATTTGTTTTATATCTAAAAGTTTTGGCACCGCAACGCAAGAATTAGAGAACTGAATCAACAATTAGAATTATTTGGTTCCTAAGTGGGAAAAATCGACACCGTTTAGCCTGATGTATTTCCTCTTAGATTGAAAATTTCCAAAACTGATAAGATAGAAGTTCCAGTTTTATTTATCAACTTTCCTCAACTTCGATAATATAATCCAACTAATTTCACGTATAGGTGGACGAAGATATTCAAATGGAACAAAATGAACGTATTAGCAAATTATAAGCTTAAATCAGCTATACATTTTCTTTGAAGTTGGTAAGAAAATTCAACATTTACATTGATTGGTTACTACAGGGAAACCAACTGAGCACAGAACAAATCCTGTTAGTCATTTTGCGGTCCTGGTATCAAGCTCGAAGGCTCATAACCTCAGTGCACTTGAAGAGATGATGAGCGCCCAAGCGTTGTGATCAGATTGCAAAGCGGTCAATAGAATTCGGTCAACACTTAGGACCGGACAATATGAAATTGGTTACTCTCCAGTGACTAGTCAGTGTATCTAATCTGGTCCTGCGGGAAGTCAATCACTTCCCGAACACCTCAGTAGTAACTTCGCTGACTGCAGCATTTGGTGACGTGGGTTCAAATCTTAGGCGAGACACCACTTCCCTCGAGGCTGCCGATACGCCTCTCAGATGGGAGCAAACAAGCACGAAACCTAGGTCTAGTAGGGATTCCTGCCGACTGCCTCGATGAAGTTGAGTTAAAGTAGAGGGTTGGCTGCCATTCTATACTCTGTTCTATGATGATGCGAAGCGTTGAAATTCGGTCCGCACATGATTTGTACTTCCTGAATTCAGCCTGCCTGTTTCTGTCGTAATTTCGAATCCAGCGTATATTTTAGTCTCTCCAGGATGATGCGGCACAATATTTTGCTTGAGGTGGACAGGAGAGTGATTCCGCACCAGTTCATGCAAACACTTAGGTGGCCGTTGTTTAGGAGTTTGACAAGGTAGCCTTTCTTCCAGTCTGCAGTTCTCATGCAGACCTTCTGCAATAGTGGGGTGAGCATGTCCGCTGTTATCCTTGCGTCTGTTCTCAGTGCTTCTGGGAGGATTCAGTTTGGTCCTACTGCTTTACTACATTTCAGTAACCTTACGACATTCAGGACTTCGACTTTCGTTAGAGAGCTTGTGTTCACTTGTAGTTCTGTGGCCGGGCTGCAGGTGGTATTTCTGGACGAAGTGCAGGTGGTGGTCGATTCAAGAGCTTCCTGAAGTGGTCAGCCCATCGTTTCCTTTGGTTCCCTTCTTTGGTAATTAAATTTCCCTCATCATTTTTTATTGGTTTCATCTGTGTTGATCTCTCCCATCCCAGATAGTAACCTGGTTATTTGATACAAATAATGTTGTCAGGTCTCTCCTACCAGCAGCCTGTTCTGCTCCACTTGCCAGTGTGCCGTGGAAGTGTCTTTTGTCTTTGGGCACACTCTTTCCACTTCTTTGTCCAGCGGTTTATGCATTGTTCTCAGTTTCTTTTCTCGTTGTGCATTTTTGCACTGGTTTATCTCCTGCTTCACCATCCTCCTCTCCCTCCTCTATCAGCTTCCATGTATCCGTCGAGATCTATTCCTTATCTTCTTTCTTCTTCCTTCCTAATACGGTTATGCAGGTTTACTTCCATGTCTCTTTCAAACAGTTCCAGTGTTCATCCACAAACGTTTCTTTAGGGATGTTGCTCGATATCTCCCATTTTGTCTTGATGGCTGACATGAAGATATCTCTTGTAGTTTTGTCCTTCAGTTTCTGTTCTGGGTCTATCACCAACTTCTTTCAAGGCTTTCAACTTGATTTGGAAGCTAGGTTCCTTGTACTGGATAGTAGTCTGAAACTACATCTGCTCTTCTTCTTGATCTGAACTCGTGTCCAGTAGGCTGGCTGTATCTCCATCTCCACTTTCTTCACATTGAGATGAAGTCGATCTGATGTTTAGTGTAGTGTGTCCCGGTGTCTGATGAAATCATCTGCATGTTGCTTTGTGAATATCCTCGTGTGTGTAAACACTGCCTCCTATCACCAAATGGTTGAATGCTGAGAAGTCTGCAAACAGTTCTCCATTCTCGTTCATCATTTCATCAAGAGCTTCTCGACGCATGACGTGTCCCCTCCATGCAGTTTGGCATTCGTGTCACCCCACAGATTAGAATGAATTTTGATGTCGCCTTCAGGAGTTTTGTCTAATACTCATTGCAGTTGTCTGTAGATTTCCTCCTTCTTCTCTTGATCTGCATTATTTGTAGGTGCGTAGCATTGTACGATTGTTACTTTTCTTCTCTTTGAGTTGGACCTTGCTGTCATGATCCTGATACTGTGGGAGGAGATTGGTTCCCACTGTATGAGAGCCTTTGATGTTCTTGGGGACATCATGATAGCCAATCGAAAACTCAGGGTGCTCCTGGTTATCATCTGGGTGACAATGTCGGAGTGGATTATTGACTCCTCTGCAGTTGACAGTTTGGAGAGTCCACTTCCATTCCACCTACTTTCGCAAATTCCTAGCCTAGCACTTCTGTGCCATACCTTCATATTTCTTTTGCCATCTGAGAAGCCCTGCTAGGTTCAAACGTGGTGTGGACATTCCATGTCTCCACGTCTACTCTCGCTTTCATCGAGAGTGGGAAGACATATCGGCCAATTGGTTTCCCGAAGGCTTTCACCAACAACGTCACTTCGCCTCTCCGATTTCAATGAGGAATAAGTTTGTTTTTATTTTTTGTCTTTCGCCTGTGTTTTGATGTTTCTGTAGCGGTTGGATCGGTTTTCCGGTGTAGGGTTGCTAGCCCAATGCCCAACCTTCCCTCTTTACCCTGGCTTGGGACCGTGAACTAGTGAACTAGTTAACCAGGCGGGGTTGGTGATGGGTCAGAGTGAAATAGAAAGCTATATGATAGCTTGATTCGAACTGGTGACCCTCAAATACCAGCTTGTCGCTCTACCACCTGAGACATTAAATCCAGCCGATAACTATGTCTTATGTTCCCCTAAGGCAGTGAAAGTTTTGCGTGGTTGTTATTTGAAAGCATTACAGATAACTTCTTGTTCATTAGAGCTATTCACTCTATTTTCAATAATTCCCCAGAGTCAGTGACACCAGTCTGCAAACCACAGCTATTTCAGGCTTTTCAGTCAGTAATCAGTATGGTCTTCCCCCTCTAATATTCAGCCATAATTGCAGTAGTATGAAACATCTTAGTTGGGTAGGTGGGGTGATTATCATCAAGAAACACTTACACAACATGCAATCACATGGCAGTAGGAAAAAGACCTCAGTGACTGAAATGCAGTTAGTCTCTGTTCAGAAGTTTGGTCTTGTCGATCAGCTAGTAAAACACCAAGCCAGCGTAGGAAAAATTATTGGTTCAGATCTTACCACAACCCGGTTTTCATTACATCTTCATTCGTCACTTTGTATCAATGAAGGCAGTCTGTAAAAACCATGGTTAACTTTTAAAGAGTCTCATTGGTAAGTAATATGTTTTCCTCGAAAGATTCGTTTTAGTGTTCAATCATTTGAGAACCGACATAAAATTAAACTGAAATATCATTTAATTAGTGGGCGACTTTGAATTTAAGTAATATATAAGATCATACTTACTGGAATAGTTTGACAGCATGTTATCATACCCTCTGAGAATATGTTAGTTGAACAGTCTACTTTCTTTTGCGTTGGTGAATATGCTGAGTTATTTATATCAATTGGTACGTAGTGTGCTGCACATTGTAATGGGTATTGTTGTTCCTGTTGCTGGCAAGATGGTGTCACATGGGTTTTTGATTGTGTAATCTGTGGATAGTTGGGATGATTGTGTAAATAAGGTTCCAAGTATTTTATTTGTGAGGTTGTTGGCTGTGTATTCACCAATGAACTGTTAGTAAGTGTAACAGTGTTGTCACAATTATGAAGCCTACCATTATCACCAGTTTGACCATGTTTAGTGCAAACTGAAATTAGATCACAGGGGAGAAGGTAGGAGGATTCTGAAGCAGCATGCATTTTATTTTCTGTCAGTGGCGTATGTTCTTGTGATGAGTGTTTCAGCTGTTGTTCACAGTGGACGGAAGAATGCGAAAGTTTATTCAGCGCAACATAATTGTTATCGATACTTATTCTTAATGGCTTGTTTCTTTGAAATAAAGTTTTTGAATGATGTTTTACAGGCACACTTTTCTCATGTAAACATTTCTGTTTTTTTGATTTATGATATCTGGGTGACTGTGTACTATTTACATGGGTAAGAATATTACTATTATTATTAACATCCTCAGTGTTGGGGTTATTTACAACATGAATATTAGCAGTTAATTTCTTACTAGGACTACCAAGTTCAGTATTACAATTTACATCGTTACTACTTTTATTACTATAAAGACTACTGCAACTTCCAAAGTACCTGTTCTTATCTTTAATTTGACCGCCTATACCAGCATTACTGATGCAGAAGTGTGGTCCCCGATTCTCGAGTTTGATCAACTCCTGGGTGGTATTTATATCTTTACTACATTTGCTGTTACTACTGCTAGTTATTTTAAGACTTTTTTTTAGTAGTCTACATTTATGTGTAGTTTTACTAGTAGCATTATAACTGATGATTCGATTTTTATCTCTACAGTCAGTTTTATCGTTTTTCTCGTTCAGTCGTTTAGATCGGCGCTTAGAACGGGCCCATAATATTGAAGCAGTTAATGTGCAAACTATAGTTATAGCAAAAATTGCTAACAGTAAAGAAATAACAATATTGCTGATGTTCATATCGGTGGCTAGACGTATTGAATCAGATTTCAATGTGTCTAAAATGTGTGAAGACCAAAGAGTATGTGTAGAATTATGCATATTGGAAAACATCAACTTTTGTGTTATTTCCATATCGTTAGCTGAATCAGCTGGCCATATGTTGTGTACAGTAGGCGGTATAACTGGATCAGTTACTTTAACATAAAACCATGATGTTGTTTGCAGCGGTGGTTTACCGTTATCCGTTAACTGCACACAAAAGAGATAAATTCCACGTCTAGAATCCGATTCAATCAACTCGGGTTCTGAAAGCTTTTGATAATCGATAAATCTAGCCCGAAACTCACCGGTATCCTCATCCAAATGAAAGTATTTTGAACCATTACAACTACTATTCTGCATATAAGTAATGCGTCCATTTTCACCGGAATCTAAGTCTTTTGCTTGTATTTGAAACGCCATTCTTGTATAGATATATTTTCTTATCATTTTGTTGTTCATGTTTTGTTTTAGGTATGTGCTATTCAACATTTTGCGGTTTAGTATCTTATCATATTTACTGGTTAACTGATAGAAAGTTATAGTATCCCAGTTCTGTAATTTGATCGGCTGGTATATCAATGTTTGACCTAGATTCGGTTTCTCAATAATTGGACTATTGTCATTAATGTCGACTATTTGAATAGTTAGTGTTGTTGTACTTGTCATTGGATTTGGTAGCCCACGATCAATGGCAAGTATATGCAGGAAAACTATTGAACACTCCTCTCGATCAATTGGCAGCATTGTTAACAAATGTCCACTATCTGATAACGTAAAATATACATCACCATCATTATTACGGTTGCATTTGTTTTGTAATATATGTTTACCGTTTTTATTTGTTATTTGTAATCCATTTAGAAGGCTGACATGTGCTATTTGACCACCTGGACCGGTATCAGGATCAGAAAATTTGATTAAACCTAAATCGGTGCCAATCGGAGCATGTTCAACAACACTTAAGGTATCTGAACCTTTCAACTTTGGCCCATTATCGTTAACATCTAATACCTGAACAATAACAGTAGCAAATGCACTCATGCGCGTACCATCTGAAGGCTTTGGATTATCTTGCGCCAAAACTCTGAAACGAAGTAAATCATTCCGTTCATAGTCCAACCTCTTGATTAGAAATATACTACCCGTTTGACTATCAATTTTGAAGTGTCGTGCAGCGTTAACGAATGATAATTCTGAGCTGTGATCATTTTCCATAAGGCTATAACTAACTCGTCCATTATCTCCACTATCAGCATCTTCAGCTGTAACAATAAGTACTAGTTTATTAAGTGGTTCTGCTTCACTCAACAAATTTTATAGTGACCAATTTTTGGAGCGAATGTGGAAGATTTAAACTTTGGCGCGTTATCATTTACATCACCCACAGAAATAGTTAGATTGAACTGTCGCATCTGCTTCGGACTAGCTTCATCTAAACAGGTAATGGCATAGTGTAATCTCGGAGTAGCCTCATAATCAACTGAATCTGTTGTTATGATAGTCAACATAGTTTTCTCGGGAGAAACAGTCATTTTTAATGGGACATTTTGGTCTGCATCTGCACGACATTCAACCATGTCACGAGATACTTCATCTTTATCACGAATCATAACGCGGAGAGCTAGTTGACCAGGTTCACTATTCTCTTTTATAGTGTTATTCAGCTGCACAACTAACTGAGGTGGATTATCATTAATATCTTGTAGGTAAATCGTCAACTGAGCTGTAGCGGATAGCGGAGGATCTCCAGTGTCATAAGCAACAAATAATAATTCTATCTGCCTTTCTTGAAATGTTTCATAATCCAAAACATCTCGAAAGTACAATTCACCTGTATTAGAATGAAAATTAAATTTTTCAATGACAGAAGTTGGTATGGTTGGATTTGCCGGTGCAAATGTATACTTTATAAGACCGTTATCATCGGAGTCAGCATCAGTAGCCTGTACTTTATATATAGGCTCTTGAAACATAGTGTTCTCAGGTATTTTTATAGAATCCTTTGATTTTTTAAATACAGGTATGTTATCGTTTACATCTGTTATATGTACAAGGACAAGCATTCTACCAGTACGAGAAGGATGACCACCATCGATAGCTTCAATTGTTAGTTTATAAATTCGTTGGTCAACTTTATCGTAGTCAAGAAATATGCCTGGTTTGATAGAAAGACTCAATTTTTCAGTACTTAAATTACTATAAATTTGGAATGTTGAAGTAACAGGAATACTACCGTGTATTCTGTATTGTACAACACCATTTGGCGCAGAATCAATGTCTACAGCTAACGGTAATCCATACAAAGGTCTATGCAGATTTTGTATATCTAAGTCAGTATACTTTAATCGATTATCTTCTGGTATCCATAATGAAAATGTCTGTTGTGGAAAATAGGGTGGATTATCATTAGCATCGTGTATTTGTAAATTTATATGAACTGTGATTGATGTAGAGCCTGGATGAAAAAACAGTACATCAACTGTCAAATTGCATACAATTAAATGACAACAATTTAATGGTCCACATAATTGGTCAGCATTGTCACGATCAATTAAAGTCTGTGTATAAAACTCACCATTGTCTGTTACTCGAAATAAACGTAATAAAAATCCACTTGAATCGACTAATGTAGAACTGACTGATGAATCGAGTATATTAAGAAATGGAAAATTGGGTATCTGTTTTGGAATGTTTCCAATAAAATGATCTTGAGGTAATTCATCTGGAAGCATAAAATTCACTGTATATACATCTGATGCTGATCTACCTGTACGCAAGAATGATGATGATTATTGAGGATACAGCTGAGTATTCTGAGTGTATTTGATGCTTAGCAAAATGTGTTTCAACAAGTAGCATTAAGGAGAATAATATGAGTAAATTTGTTTTCAAATTGAGTATTATAGTCCTGGAGCGTACAGGCAACATGACATATTCAATAAAGCCATTAGAAATGAAGGCCAATTAATTTATGTCGGCATAGTGTACGATAGAAGATGTAAACAGCTTTGGCTAAGGAAGTAATGAAATATTTATTTGCACTCTTCATGCAACTGATTTGTATTATCTGTAAAAACGGAAATGGATAAAATTTATCACGATACGATTTTGAAAGGCCTTAATTTTGCACATTCAGGTGATAACTAGGAAAATTTGATCATGCATATTTAGTAAGGCATGTGTATTAAATACATAGTAACCTACTTATTGAGTTCAATTCTTATATCAAAATGAATGATACGGTCAGCCTCTCATTTTCGTCAAACAGTTATTTTTAAGGTAGCATTCATCATGAACTGACGACAGTTGGAGAAGCATCGAGAACATGGAAGCACTGAACAGCTGTTTTGTTTTAGTATGAGACCCCTCAGCAGCACGGACCCATGACCTGGCTGGGAGTGAACTCAGAACCTTCAGGTTTCATGGCAAATGTGTTAACAAGCCAGCCGCTGTGTTGGAGTTCTATGGTTCACAGTTTCCTACTTCCGTTCATTCGCAGTATAGCTAGACTATCCCTTGAACTCGACCCCAATTAGGTCATGGGTGCCACGTGCTGAAGACTGTCTTACAGCTGTCCAGTGCTTTCGGCCTTTCCAGCTGATGTCAGTCCATGATGAATGCTACCTGAAGAGAGAAACCCCCAATAACGTTAAAATATATAATTATTTACCTAGTTCTTTATGAGCTAGTAGATAAGTAAATAAGAAGAAATTAAATACTGATGAGACACTTGAAAAGATTCAGTGGTGTTCACTTTCATAGTCAACTGTTGTTAGTTTTTAGGGGAATCGTCTTATATAAAGAAGTCACTCAACGTCAGCAGAGTTGAAGACATGATTTCGTCACCTAACATTCAGGTGTTTGAGAATAGCGAATGAATTATCACCATATTTTTCAAGTTGACTTCTTGAGTATTATCAAAAAAGCATTAAGAATAACTGAGCATTGGGATGCTTTACAATTCTTAGCATAACACAGGGGTTATAACTTATATTTCCGGACACGAATTATTAGCATTGATGTTCGACAGTTTTTGACAAAATTTGTAGAATATCAACATGTAAACAATCTCTAAACAGAATGAAATATTCACCATTCACATGATTTTATTTCATTAGAAGCTGCTATATAAATCAACTGTAATCTCATAAGTATTCATCAGTCTACGGAAAGTGCATTATTGAATAGAATATCATTCTCATTCTCAGTGAACTTACAGATAAGTGTTAAGCACATGTAAAAGTGTTGTTCATTATTCGACAAAAGATTGTGAAAGATGCATTTGATGATGATTTTACCAGTGAAATGTATCAAATGATATATACTGGACGTTGACAGCTTATTGTTCACAATTCTAAATTTACTACTTATATGGAAGAGTTAGAGCAAACGAAATAAATTCAATTCACTTATTCATTTGTTGTTTTTGCTCCGTAAAAGTGTGCACAGGGAATTAATCGTATAAAATTTTTGAAGCCTTGCCTCCCATGGATACAGTCTGCGCTCTAGATAACCAAGAAAGGTCGAGGTGTAAGACTTTATGTGAATGCAGTCATATTACATTTCTCTGCTTAACAACATTTTTCCAGATGACATTATGAACAACCATGTTGGCAGAAACTATCTCCTACATGTAGGAATTAATGCGCTCTACTAGATCTTACCTAGAGACTGTTGATGGTACACTGAGACACATAACACATTCAGTCGTGATGAATCATCTGTGGATTTGTTAAATTATTTTACCGCATAAAATTCTTCATTTTTTGTCGTAAGTCGGAGTATCGTACCATTTCCCAAACAGAAATTGAATTTTGTCAATCAATAGTCCAAAAACTCACTGCGCGCCGTCATACCGAAAGCCCTGAAGGGTATGTTATGAATCCTTCAGTATTTGAAGCTTGAACTAGAAGCGCTGTCTTTAGACTGTAAATTCCATCTCCTCAACCACTGAGAGGTGTAGAGCTACTTAGCAGTACTGTTGTTAAACGCTACTTGATACAAGTCATATTGTAGACTCAAACACAGGTTTCTAGACAATCGTTAGAAAAGTATTGGTAGGTTGCTACGTTATGCAGAAGTAGCAGCAATCCATTGACTGAAACCAAAACTTTGAACTACCTTCGTGAATTGTGATCTTCATACTTTTTTATTTACTATTCTGTTCTGTCATCTTATTGTCACATGTATATTATTCCTATTGCTATCATCTTAGATTTACTTTAATCTGTCATTTAATCTAGTTTTTAGCACGCCCTTTACCACTCGTGCTATCACTTTGGAAACCATCTTTACTGTTCTCCCTGTTTTTATCTAAATTCTTACCATCTTGAGCTGTAATTGTTTCCATGCACTACTTTTACATCCTAATGTTTTCTTTATATCTACGATTAATTTTATGGTCTGATGTGTTACCCTGATAAAAAGCTAATTCTATCTTTTCTCTGTGTCGGTTGAATACGTCGTGGACTTTGTTATTCATCTCTGTTCATATGTACACTGGTATATAGCTTTCAAAGATGTTCTTGGTGTTGATTTTACGAATGAAATGTATCAAATGACTTATACTAGATACCGACAGCTTACTATACGCAATTTTATTGGGTATGTGGAAGAGTTATAGCATACGAAATGAATATAATGCATTCTTAAATGGTTATGGTTTTTGTTTCTTAAAAGTGCATGAAGTCAACTAGTTGTTGGGATAGTTACTTATTATAGAAATAACTTTGAAAATGTATACACGTAGATTTTCTCCAGAGATTTGTGGTTACACAAATAGATGAGTAATAGCTAACCTTTTATGTTGATTAACCCATTGGCTTATTAGACATAATGGGAGCTTTTTTACATACTGCTCTGTTGTCACTCATTCGTTCGTTGTTTAACAGCTAATCGGTTTTGATAAGTTACTTTTTGTGGCTCGCAGAGGAATCCAGGATGCACGTTTCGTCCTATTTTAGACTTGTCAAGAGGTGGCTATTGTTCCTTCGTGGCCCAGTGGATAACTCCTTGGTGTTTGAAGCTATGGGTAAGAGGTTCAAGTCTCAATGGGAACAACGTCACTCATTGGGGTCCAGGCAAGTCCAGCTGAGGACTCCCGAAGAAGATGAAACCTTCACCCTGGATTCGTCTGCCAACCACAGCCAAGTAAATTGCCATAATTAACATTCAGGCAATATCGAGACATCTACATAGGAGTCTATATGCAAATAGAGATCGAACAATTCGATCCAGTAAAACAATGGAGAACTACAAGCATATCAAGAAATAGTAATAATCAGATTTGAATTCATTTCTTTTAGATTTTACTTAATGCATTAATTTCTGCTGATGAAAATTTAATCATTAGTTACATTTTAGATTTACCGGAACATTTCTACGCTTCTTCTTAAAGAGAACCAGGATTGTAAGAATGGTCTTGAAGTAATTTCTATTAAAGAAGTTTAATGTGATTAAACAAACGGAAAGTTTGTCGCTTAATCTCAATTAATAATTGTACTCGATGAGTCTATGCCCATTGGTACACACGTTCAAACCCTAACATTTGATTTAATAAAGCTTCTGAAACTTTAGAAGTGTACACTGGATTTTATACTTTTTGTCTACCGAAAAAGTTTAATTAATTGATTTTTCATTAGTACTGAAATAAATTTAAAAGATGAATAAAGCAAAAAAACGTCGGAAATAGGAATAAAATGAAAATTATCTGGTACAGTATACTGAAAAACATAAAATAGTTTCCTGCATGCGAGTAGAAGAGTAGTCATATAAGTAAGTTTTAATATAATCCCAGCATATTTAGAAAATCAAAACAAGATTTTCTAAGAAGAGTAGTTCCCTTTCTTGTATTAATGAATAACTGAGATTTTTAGAGTAGACTATCCTCTTCAGTTGTGAAGAAACTAAAAACGCCTGATGAGATTACCAGGAAGCTTCATAAATAACAAAATCTTGGTCATTACTTTCCAAGAAAGGTTGTAAAGTAGTTTTATCATCAAAAAGGTGAGACTGTGTGAAATAAATATTAGGAACTGTAAGCAACTATAGTAGCCTATTGAAATCGTTCTACAAGACGTAGTATATGATACAATATAAACCAGCGGTCACACGAAGCTGTAAAATATTGAAATGGGTTTCACGATTTAATACGGAGGCTTTTTGAAGAAACTTAGTTTGGGATGATAGGTCTTTGTTTTGAGATTTTTCAAAGGCCATCAAGATGCGCTCGGCTTCAGACATTTACAAATGAAGAAATATAACAATGAAAACATAGTTAACAGAAGCCTTTTGTCTAGTTAAATAGTTAACAGCAAACCTTGCAAAAAGTACACCTAAGAATTTGAAAATTTCAGGACTAATTAGTTGTATTTTGTGGTCCGCAAGATCTCTGTGTTTTCCAAGTTGAGAAAACCAAAATTTCAGTTTATAATTCGTGATATGCCTGTAAGATTTTCATGCAATAATTTGCTTGGTGTCTGTTTCATAGCCTATTTGAATTCAAGTAATCTACATTTAACTACCGATTCAAATTATACTAACCATATGGTATTACAGATTTATCGTAAGTTTACGTAAAGATGAAGATGAAATGCAAATCTGAGTTGTGGTAACATTCACACTGGGAAACTGCTTAAAAGACACTGACCTCACTTCAGTCACCAGGGATTTGAACTGCTTGTGTGATTATGTGATGCGAAATTGTCTTCTTGTCGTTATCTGTCTGTCTACT